TCGTTTGAAAATCCACTTGTAGCCTAGTGGTTTACTTCCTGGTGGAAGATCCACTAGCTCCCATGTATGATTTTGCAGGATAGAATCTATTTCACTTTTAATGGCCTCTTTCCATTGAGGTCCTTCCGAGGAGTTCATAGCCTCTTGATAGTTTTGAGGTTCACTTTCTAGCATATAGGTCAGAAAATCCGGACCATAAGATTTTTCTGTCCTTTCCCTTTTGCTACGTCTAGGTTCAACCTCAACCTCCTCTTCTGGTTCTTGGTCCTGGCTATGTTCAGTCATAGTCACATACATCCGTTTAGAAGAACTTGCCTCTTCTTCGGACCTGCATGGAAACACATGTTCAAAGAACGAAGCATTTTTCGACTCCATTATCATGTTTCTATGTATATCTTGGATTTTAGATTCATACACGAGAAACTGATAAGCACTACTGTTATGTGCATATCCAATGAATATGCAGTCTACAGTTTTCGAGCCTATCTTCACCTTTTTTGGTATTGGGACAACCACTTTAGCAAGACACCCTCACACTCATAAGTATTTATAGGAAGACGTTCTTCCTTTCCATAACTCATAAGGGGTCTTCTCCATTTTCTTTCGGGGCACCTTATCCAAAAGGTAATTTGCTGATAACACAGCATCCCCCCACATGGTCTGAGGTAATCCAGAACTTACTAGCATCGCATTCATAATCTCCTTTAAGGTGCGATTTTTCCTTTCAGCAACACCATTTTGTTGCGGTGAATACGGTGCAGTGGTTTTATGTATGATTCCGTGTTGTGCACAAAATTCAGCAAACGGTGCTTCATACTCACCACCTCGATCGCTTCTTAGCATCTTAATTTTTTTGTTAAGTTGATTTTCAACTTCATTCTTATAGAGAACAAATTTCTCTATTGCTTCATCCTTACTTTTTAGCAAATATACATAGCAGTATTTCGTGCTATCGTCGACAAAAGTAATGAAATACTTGTTGCCACCTCTTGTTTGTACAAATTTTAAATCACATATATCATTGTGAATTAAATCAAGTGATTCCATATTTCGTTCAATTGACTTAAAGGACGACTTAGTCAATTTTGCTTCAACACAAGTCTCACACTTATGTTTGGAATCAACATGGAATGCTGGTATGCATTTCAAGTTAACTAGCCTACGTAAAGTATCATAGTTAACGTGTCCTAGTCTACCATGCCACAGATTGGAAGATTCAAGCAAGTAAATAGAAGCATTCACTTTATTATTCATTTTTGGTTTAACAACCATTACATTGAGTTTAAACATTCCATCGGAAACATAACCTTTTCCGACAAACATTTCACTTTTCAACAAGATGACCTTGTCTAACTCAAACACAAAAAAACCATGTTTATTCAAAAGCGACCCGGACACAAGGTTCTTGTGAATTTCCGGCACATATAGCACGTTGTTGAGAGTCAGCTCTTTTCCTGAAGTCATCTTCAGAACCACTTTTCCTTGACCTTGATTTCAGAAGTTGTTGAATTTTTCATGAATAACTTCTCTCCATTTTCAACTGTTTCAAAAGCAGTAAATAACTCTTTATCAGAGCACACATGTCTCATAGCTCCGGTGTCAATCCACCATTCTTTTGGGTTAGAACCCACCATGTTCACTTCAAAAATGACTGCTACGAGACTTATCTTCGACACATTATGTGCCATGTAGTCAACCACATTTGCTTCATTCTTCTTCTTTGGCAATCTGCACTCCGAAGATTTGTGGCCTACTATGTCACAGTTGAAGCACTTCCCTTGAAATTTCTTCTTAGGAGTGCCCCCTTTTGGTCCCAACTTGATCCCTTTTCCACCGGATGACCCAACTTTGGTTTTGTAGTTCTTACTACCTTGACCATGTTCAATATTGGCCTTAGCCGCACCAGGATTGAATCACTTCTTTTCGGAACTCTTGTTGTCTTCTTCAATTCGAAGTCTAACAATTAGTTCTTTAACGTTCATTTCCTTTCGCTTGTGTTTCAGATAATTCTTGAAATCTTTCCACGGGAATGCAATTTTTCAATGATTGCAGCCACTTGGAAAGTTTTACTTAGAATCATTTCTTCGGCATGAATTTCGTGAAGAATCGCTTGGAGTTCTTGCACTTGACTGATTACAGTTTTGGAGTCCACCATCTTATAGTCCAAGAATCGGTCGACGATAAATTTCTTAGCCCCGGCATCCTCAGTCTTATATTTCCGGTCCAAAGACTCCACAACTCCTTAACAGTTTTCATGGTGCTATACACGTTGTATAGCGAATCTGCCAAACTGTTCATGATGTAATTTCAGCATAAGAAGTCCGAGTGGTTCCAAACATCAACAACACTAATTGCTTGAACATCCACCTCACCCTCTTGGAGTTTTGGAGCACTTTCAGTCAAGAATCTCGAAAATTCAAGGTGGTCGGATAGAACAGCATTTTCTGTTGCCACCTCTTGAAATTCAAGCCGTTGAATTTCTCCGGCTTTTCCCCATGGTTAACCGGTACATTAACCAGAACATTAGCCACATGTTGGCTCACAACACGACTTGGAACTTGAACCACAGTCTGAGCCATAACAGAGCTAGGCCCTACAGCCATAGCTGCACCCATAGCCGAACTAGGCCCTGCACCCATAGTAGAACCCACAGCCTGAGTTTGGGTACCTACAGTTTGGGACACATCCATGTTGGAATCCATGTTGGTCGAACCGGTTGCCATTTCGTCTTCTGAAAGAACCAAACAACAAATTAGTTTCCACAATATAACAAATATAATAAACTAATCAATTCAGAAATAATCAATATAGGAAACCAATTTTTCCTTTCTGAGAATCTGTTTTAAGCTTGTAGGGAAAATCCCAAGTTTCACCAGTTCGGTCGGTTTATGAAAAATGAGGAATTCGGTATTCTCGATTTCAATACCGTATATGATTTTTGTCCGGTAAGATGATATGTAACAGCAAGTTACAGTCGTACAACTAATTGGATAATAACAGAATGATCAACAAATCAACTATTGAATTTACTGCAACAAATAACAGAACGAATAATTGAAATTGCAGGAAATGAAATTTCAAAACGAGGCCTGTGTTACACACAGTTTCCCTAAAACAGATTCGCCCCCTCACCGTCCGTGCTTGAGATTTAAAACGATCGTCTGTTTCCCAGGATACAACGGTAAAATCAGTAGCTTCCGAGCACCGCAGAAACCACTCCGGCGAACTGAATTAGTGCCTGAACTACACTACCACCAAGACAGAAATCCAGAAAAGACAGAACTCTATACAAATGAATTTCTTGTGTATTCTAAACTTGAAAACTTTTGCTTTGGTGTGTTGAAATGAGGAAAATGAGCCACTATTTATAGGTTAGGCTACCATTAATGGCAATGACCTTTAGAGTTTTTCATCTTTTTCCTATGTGGGACAACTTCATTTTTCCCACATAAACTTCCTTTTGAGTGGCACACTTTGAACCTCAATTTCTTATTCATCCAAGCATCATCTTTGGCAAGTAAGTATATGATTTCGATGTAGTCACGGAGGAGAACACAAATCAACTTTCATTTTCCAAATTGAACAACCGGGTCCCACTCAAAACTCGTGCCAAAGTCGGCCCATAACTTAGTTTTTCCCCCCCAACAAGTTCTTCCATTTTGCACATCCAATGAAAGCAAAGGGCATATTAATACGATTTTTGAGAGAAAAAAATGTGGACTAGTAAATTGTAACGTTTTATAATTGCGCTGTTCAAAAAGTCACATCGATCAATTTTTTTATAAATATTATTCGGATAGTCTTGAACATTGAGTCTCGTCTCACTTTTGCTTTGTAAGGATCGAGGTCAAATGGACGAGAATTTTGTTCTATCAAGTGAAGATACACTCTCTATGTTCTCTTAAAAATTATCCTATTAAATTATATTCTTTGAAGTTTTACAGTAAAAAAGGTCAAATGCATTTGACTTTATTGGTGTGGGAATGGGGATAATAGGGTCTACTCTAACTAATATCTTAAAACTTTAACATGTTTTTATGATCATGACATTTGACTTTCATAAGTTGCCCATTAAATGGCTTGAAAATTTGAAATAATTTAGAAAGGCATTCAGCACCTTACATTTCTGTTTATAGAAAAGGATAAAACAAACAATTCTATTTTAGGTCTGGTAGAAAATTATAAAGCCCCTGCTTGTTTTTCATTATTTGGTATTTAAAATGAAAAATATAATCGTTATCAATTACATCAAACCATCATATTTGAATTTCCATCTCTTGTGAGGGGCCTGTAACGGTTATATTTTTCATTCTCATTCTTACATTAATGGGAAACAAACGGGGTCAAAGTTGCTCTTTTAAGGGTTTACTACACCATAGGTCCCCAACCTTTTCACCTTTCCCAATTTCATTCCCTTAATTATTTTTTAGCACTTCCATCCCCAATATTTCAATAATTCACGTATTTCGTCCATCATGATGATTTTCATCCAAATCTTTAGTTAGCAGGTGTTTATATAGCATGCTATTTCCAAAAGGACAATTTTGTCAAGTCATTATTTTATCACTTTTTGGGTAGGACAAAAAATATTATACTAATATCTTTAAGATTGATCATGACGTTATATTGTAGTAGTCTTTCATTTATTCTCTCATCTATTTTTTTCTCTTTCTTCTATTTGTCAAATTGCAAAGTAGGCTCTACAGATGTGGTAATTGCATGAAGCTAATGACTTCTAATGAACCTATCGAGAAGCTTTTTTTAAAAAAAATTTAAACATTATAATGCTATTTTCAGCCAAATCTCATCTATATCAAAGTTTAAATCTATTAAATTTAAAAATATTGTACTTAAATATATTAGCAAACCAAGACTAATAGATTATCTTTAATAAATATATAAAAATGGAAGAGGAAATTAAATAGCACTAAGTAGTGCGATATAATGGTAAAATTAACACGATTTTAGTTGAGATAGGTTAAAATGGAAGCAACCAAACCGGACACAATGGGAACGTACACCTCTTTGCGTCTTTGTTTTGTGTCAACACCAGATTTAGGATTTCGCTCACAACTCACTCTTCAGAACCCTCTGGTATCCAAATGGAGGTATAAGCGAAATTACATATCGGTAATTTCAATGATTTGAGTTATAGATTCTCGGCTATTTCCAAGAAGAACTCAGATTAAGTTAAAGAAAACCGATTTGAGCCCTCGATTTGGTTTCAATTTCAATTGAACGATCCATACAATGGTGGCGAAAACGGAGAAATCAGCAGTGGATCTTCTGAAGTCACCGGGTATGACTTCCCTTTTCAAATCCCTGAAACTAAAAACGAAGCAACAGGAGCTTTTGATTCGAGTAACGATACTGTTTTTGGTGTATGTATTGGCGTTTATTACGCGTTTGTTTAGTGTGTTGCGTTATGAGAGCATGATCCACGAGTTTGACCCGTATTTCAATTACCGGGTCACTCAGTTTTTGACTCAGAAGGGGTTTTACGAATTCTGGAACTGGTTTGACTCGGAGAGCTGGTACCCGCTTGGGAGGATCGTTGGTGGGACACTGTTCCCTGGTCTAATGGTCACAGCCTACCTGATTTACCGGACTCTCCAGTTTCTGAGGTACATCTTATCGTCACAACGTGCATCTGTGTACATACTATATGGCATACATGAATGTATGTGGGCGTTTTGCATTTTACTTCTTGACAATGATAGTGGGATATAACCGTAAAGAAAGGGATGATGCTTGGGACTAGAGATGTCACTTATTTATAGATGATAGCAAAAATTTAAGGCACATATATTATAGAATTTATGGAAGCATGATTCACCTAGACGCAAAAGGTTCAAACTTTGTGGAAGTTTAATTCAACAATACCTAAAGGTTCAAACTTTAAGCAAATGTTGTTTGAGAATGCCTAACAATTAACATGGAAATGATTGGATATGAATGAAATTTTTTAATTTTATTATGCTCTTGTTTGCTTGTGTGTTTGAGAAAATGGCGAAGATTCTGAATGTGACGCTGTGATCTGAATCTTTTTCTATACAATTCATGATGACGATCATGGATTTTACTAGAAGAGAAGAAAGAGAAGAATATGGAGTGAAAAAAAAAAATGCTATTTCCATCTGCTTTTTCAAAATAAACTTTCAAATTTTTCTTTCCTTTTTTTTTTTTTTTTTCTTTTCATGGAGATATGTTGCTAGTGATTGATTTTAGTGAGGGAATGCATTATGCGTCAAGCGTCAAATAGAAGAAATATTACGCTGTAACACTTTTTGAGACTGCAATGATTTAGATGATAATGCAATCATTAGTTAATGCAAGCAATAAATACCAATGGGAAGACATTGTGTCTCCCAATTGAGTCATGTGTCTAAAACTTGAGTATAATTATTTCCACAGTGATGCATTAATATTTGCATAATTGCATGTAGTTGATAATGGAGCGGTACTAGGTAGAAATTTAATCTGGCAATCTATGGTGGTTCGTGAGATATGACAATGATTTAGATGATAATACCATCTTTAGTTATTGCAACAAATAGATATTACTGGGAATCAAAGTGGCAAATTCTGTCACATCTAAATCTCGAGTGTAATTATTTTGACATTGATGCATCAGTATTTGCATGTACAAGCGCATGTTTTGAGCTTTTCCTATCAGACTTGTACCTAGTCAGGTTTCTCACTTGGTACTTCTGCTAATGGGGGAGAATAGAAAAATGATATTGTCAACATGTATGCCCTGTACGAACTAGTAAAATAAAAACCAAGCTTTAATTTTTTTACCTTTGACGTGTAAGATGCAAATAGGAGAGTTTTTGGATAATCAAAGGCACTACCACCAATCTAAGTCTTATTCTCAATAAATTTGGACTCGGCTACGTTAATCTCTTTTGCCACTCCATTGAATTGGTTTCTCAATCTACTGGAAAATCCAATCCAACTAAATTCTTAACTCAAAGAGACTGCATAAGTTTTGGTCTATTCCTCCATGTTATAATCTGTTGTATCGAGATCACATAATTCTTATGAATTTGGGCCTAGTTAGGTCTACATAAAACAAAAGAGCTGACTTCCTTAATTTTTACTCCACTTGTTGGCTTATATTCTAGTTTCTTATCTTATTCGCTCTCGTATGACCACATATCCATCTTGATAGCTCTATCTTCTTGAGGTTTATCTTTTGGCTATTAAAAGCCTCACTCTCAATATGGTTTCCTTGTAACTTGTTCCTGGTTCTATATATTTTCTTGAGAACATGTGGTGAACGGTCCTGTTTCTTGGACATTCTCACATGCACGAATTGGATTTATTTAAGAAATAAGAAAGAAATGATAATTTAATTTTCTACATGATAAAGATTATCTCCAAATTCTCTATGATAGTTTAAAGGCTTAGTCATATTCGTAAATGCAAGAATAATTATTATTTTGAAACTATTTATAGCAGTTTGAAATATATATCTACAACTTTTTATACATGTACTAATATCTTACCCAAAAATGCATAAATGCATGGATAATTAAAGTGTATATGCATGTGTACATCTTTATGTATGTATGTGAGTATACACATATTTTTGTACATCTGAAACACTTTCAGCATTTAGGCCTTCGCAATTGTGTTCGATAACTCTGCAATTCCAATTTGCAGTTACAATATAATATTTTATACCTCGTGAAGTCTCTAATGCTATCTATCACGGTTCCAGATTTTCGTTTATATTGGGTTCTTAAAGTGTTTTGGTATCATCTTCCAGGTTTGCCATCCACATTCGTGAAGTTTGTGTACTCACTGCACCATTCTTTGCCTCAAACACCACTCTTGTTGCTTACTTTTTTGGGAAAGAGTTATGGGACTCTGGGGCTGGGCTTGTAGCAGCTGTGTTGATTGCCATTTGCCCTGGTTACATCTCAAGGTCGGTTGCAGGTTCATATGATAATGAGGGGGTTGCTATATTTGCGCTGTTGCTCACTTTCTATTTATTTGTCAAGGCTGTGAATACGGGGTCACTTGCTTTTGCCCTGGCCTCTGCTTTTGGGTACTTCTATATGGTTTCAGCATGGGGTGGTTATGTTTTCATAATTAATTTGATCCCGCTATATGTGATGGTTCTGTTGATTACTGGGAGATACTCAATGAGATTGTACGTAGCTTATAATTGCACTTATATCTTGGGAATGTTGCTTGCAATGCAAATTCGTTTTGTGGGCTTCCAGCATGTGCAGTCTGGAGAACATATGGCAGCAATGGGAGTATTTTTTTTGATGCAGGTATCTCTTTCTTGTTTCCCTGTCTCTTAAGTACATCCCATCCCCCTCTCGAGTAATGGAGAGCACAATGTAAAGGAAGTTTGAGAATTCAGTAAAATCCTTGTTTTATCAGTGGCTGTTTGATCACGATTTAGATTAATTTGCATGTCTATTGTGTTGCGTAAACAACAATTTACAGAGGCAACAATTATTTGTTACATTCTTTGATCTGTAGAAGCACCAACCCTTAAACAAGCATTTGAAGATCATATAAGGTGCACACATAAATATGTATTATTCGAGTGCTAGATATTTTTGTTCACTTTTTCCTTCTATGTTCCTTGTGGAGATTTGCTTATTTGAAGCAGTTTAATAATTTGATAAAGTGATAGTCATGGCCTCCAATTTATGCATTTGCTGAAAGCATGAGGTAGCACAAGAGAGAATTGTTGTTTTCCCTGGAAACATATTTATGCATAATTTAATTTTCTCATCTTCTTTTCCCCTCTTATCTATACTTGCAGATAAATCTGTTCCATTTTTGGTATCTGTCGTTTATGTGCTACTTTCACTTCCTTTGTAGGTGTTTTATTTCCTGGATTGGGTCAAACACTTGCTGAACGATCCAAAATTGTTTCACACATTTCTGAGGATTACGGTGACCTGTGCAGTAGGTTTGGGTGCCATTGCTTTGGGCGTTGGTACTGCTTCTGGTTATATCTCTCCATGGACGGGACGGTTTTACTCTCTCTTGGATCCAACTTATGCAAAGGATCACATTCCCATAATAGCATCTGTATCTGAACACCAACCGACAGCATGGTCATCATTCATGTTTGATTTTCATATACTGCTTTTCCTTTTCCCTGCGGGTTTGTATTTCTGTTTCAAACGGTTGTCAGATGCCACAATATTCATAGTGATGTACGGTCTCACAAGCATGTATTTTGCTGGAGTAATGGTTCGGTTAATTCTTGTTGCTACACCTGCAGTATGTCTTATTAGTGCCATTGCAGTTTCAGCCACTATTAAGAATTTAACTCAGTTGGTGCGGGCAAAGAGCAAAGCTTCTCATAGTGCCTCTGGCAAAGGAACAATTAGCAAGGCTTCTTCCAAGGTAACTGAGCTTCACAGGACGTTTCCGTAGAAAGTATTTGATTAAAACTTTGTCTGAGTATTATTTGATAAGTCTTTTATTTAATGCACACTTGTTCTGCCATTGCATTAAAAAGAAGATATCAATTAGTGTAGGTATGCAATTATTCAAGTTCCCATCCCTTGTTTTTCTATATTCTTCTATGGACAGCTGTGAAATTACAAACATCAAGCTACTAAAAGTGTCTTTCATACTCCAATCTGTACAAAGGTTCTACCTAAAATTTTAGGATACATAGAGAAGGTCAAGTCAGATCCAAATAGATAATAAATTTTCTGACCATGGATATTTACTGAAATAAGCAAATCAGAAGACAGACAAGATGATTTATGTGTAAAATATTGACACAAATGTGAACTTTATTGGTTCATCTACTGGCATGAGTTACTGAAAACTGAAGAGTAAATAAGAAGAGAACTTGTCATTACACCTAGAAACTAATCGATTCAATACCTACGGCTTGAAATTGCTTCGTGAAACGAAAGGTCTTTGAAAGCACTAAAGTTCTCTTTAAAATCCATACAAATTTTCATTTATTTTTGAAGACAAAGTGCTTGTGCATAGGTTTTGATTGAGCTTTTCATTCCAACAAGGACTTGACTTCAACTTTAAAAAACACAAGTCACTACTTATTGAAACCCTAATTTTCTAATATGACTTAAAAAAAAGTACATGGGAATGTAACTTGCATATAGAAAGGTCTGGTAATTACAGAAACTATTTCTTGAGTGTAATAAATTATGTCTTTATGTACAAAATGTATTTCACACGGTAATTTAGATATTAGAATGGCTTTAGAGAAGCCCCTACTAAACCTTCACATTTCTTGCTTTCCATTTGATTTTTCTTAAGCTACTTGTTATCTGCATTGTTTCTCGAGCCTCCTGTGGTCGTATTATTTACGACTTAATGTTCATGTAGTTACTCAAATTGAAGGTACAACTGTCAAGTTTCTATATTTAGTTACTGTAGTTGAGCAGCTGAAAAACAATATTACAGGTTCTGTCTTAACTACTTTGTTTATACAGTTAAAATATAGGGAAAGAGAAATTATGTGCAATAGAAATGACATCAGATATTCAAAGTGGAGCTAATAGAGCACATGACTAATCAACAATGGAAATAAGCCCCTGTTTGGGACCCTTTTTGGGGAAAAATGTACATTAGAATAGTGATTTATTGCAGAATTTTGTGGTTAAAAGATAAGGAAAAGTTTTGGGTTTACGTGTAATATTATTTTATAAGAGAATGCGTGGTTGAAAATGAGTTTTGGAAAAAAATGGGGGTCAAACAAGGGCTAAATAACATAACCAGAAATATTTTACCAAAGAAAACTGAAAAAAAAAAGGGAGAAATGCAGCTACAAGTTTTGAGCATCCCTTTTCACAAAATTCAAGGCTCCCAAAATTATAATGAATTATAATTAGTAGAAGTCTGCCATAATTCTCTAGATCAGTTAAATATGTGAACCGCCATTCCTGTAATCTAGCAAAGGGTATAAATATTTTAGATATTATCTCACCGTTGAATAAAGCATGATGAGGACAGTGTGACTCGTATCTTTACTTCAATATGGTGACAGATAACTGCTTCTAGGTTATATTGTTTGATTGGCATTCTGGAGAATGTCTTCTTCTTCTTTACCTCCTTGAATTCTTTCCTTGTGCAGAATGCTATTAAAAAATAATCCATGGCATGTGGTTATTTACTTCATTGGATAAATATAAGTGCCAGGGGTCCATCCTAAATTGGGTCTGGCAACAATGCAGAAAGCTACCAATTTGGCTACTACTACGGATATTGAAAAACAAAGTACATGATTTGTCTTAGTACCATGTATCATAATTTGTTTCTTTCTCTACCATTATCATAAACACAATACTTGCATATGCTCTTCTAAGGGACAGTTCTAAGAATCTCTCAACTCTTGTCCAACGTTAGTAGTTCCCCGTTGAGACCTCCATCTAGTCGATGCTATAATATTAATGCATAGGTTCCTTTGTTGGGTAACTTGCTAATGAGGTCTCAGACGTGAATGGTACTTGTGTCTTTCTGGCTTCTCAGTAATTTCTATATAAAATTCCTTGTGGTGCTGGTAAACTAGCAATTTTACTCATGTATGTTGTGCAACCAGGGCTCACTGGATCAATCACTGCCATTCCAAAGAAATGGCGCTATTGCATTGCTTCTCGGTGCATTTTTCTTGCTGAGTAGATATGCTATCCACTGTACCTGGGTCACTTCAGAGGCATACTCATCTCCTTCAATTGTCTTAGCTGCAAGGGGTGCCCATGGGAACCGGGTCATTTTTGATGATTACCGTGAAGCGTACTTCTGGCTGAGGCAGAACACTCCTCCAGATGCTAAGGTGATGTCATGGTGGGATTATGGCTATCAAATCACTGCCATGGGGAACAGAACAGTGATTGTTGACAATAACACCTGGAATAACACACACATTGCTACTGTTGGACGTGCAATGTCATCTTATGAGGATGAAGCATATGACATAATGAGATCACTAGATGTGGATTATGTGTTAGTGGTCTTTGGAGGTGTTACTGGCTATTCTTCTGATGATATTAACAAGTAAGGATTTAATTCTATAAAAAAAGAACATTTTTTTATTTATCTGTGGATGCGAAGGTCACTTATTAGCAAAAGTTTGAAAACTTAAAGATATCATAAATTTCAGACTTCAAAATATTTGGGATAGCACCCTACTATAGATTAAGCTATGGAAATTATTTAAACGTAAATTTGCTATATGCTAAGCCTCTGTTTGGTGCCCATTTTAGGTCTATTCTTAGACATTTTCGGACTGTTGCACATTAATTTTTTGCATTCTATTTCTACTGTTTCTGACAAAGAAATGACTACAGCCTGTCAAAAAATTCTTTTATCTTTTTGCTTTCCCTTTTGATGCCCCTAATACTTTCAACCAGTAAATCAAGTAAAACAAGGAAATGAGGGTAAAATTGGAAAGCTGATTTTTATTATGATCCTTTACCAAGAAAATATCTGCAGCGTGTGGACCCTTTTGATTTGACATGAAAAGCATTCTCCATAATTAATGGCTCCCAAACATGTGCTAAATATCATCCTGGTGACCAATTACTTAGCACATTTGAAATATTAAAATGAAATATTGACATACATAGAAGATTACACCAATGGTGACTGGTAGACTGCCACATTATTTTTGGCCAATGTACCAGTATTTCAGAGGCTCTCAAATAGCATATTTGGTGCTGTATACTGTACAGTTGCTAGTTCTTGTAATCTGAAGTAATGTTCATCAATTATTCCGTTTATTTTCTTTTACCGCACTTGCAAATTGTATTGACTACTTTGTTGCTAGATTTTTGTGGATGGTAAGGATTGGAGGTGGAGTCTTTCCTGTAATTAAGGAACCAGATTACCTTGTTAATGGTGAATATCGTGTTGACAAAGGTGCAGCTCCAAAGATGTTGAACTGTCTAATGTAAGTTATTTTTTCAACTCATTAGATTTTGTATTTAAAGTCTCATGTTTCAATGTAATCTGGTTCTAGTTGTATCCTCTTTCATTTATTAATTTTGTTGACTAGTTCCGACCACTATTAATTATTATGACAGTATCAGCTTGTTGTACATAAGCACTAGTTCAGGAAAAAAAATGGTGGATGAGTGATTTATGTCCCTCATTGGTCTGTTGAAAGATGTGTATCATAGTTCTGAGAACGAATTCTTTTCAAATAGTTCGATTTTATGTTTATACCAACATGTGGATTTAAAATGCTTTCCACCCATGGGTCAGATGAATTATGTTGCAGAACTATGTCTACGTTTCAGAAACTTGTTCATGGGTAAGATCCCCACCCACTCGTCCAAACAACAACAAACACGCACCGAAAATAACTCATCAAATCCCAACCCTTGGTGCCACAAATTCATCCAGTCATGTAGGTGGGAATCTTCCAAATCATATGCACTTGGCCTTGTACCATGTGTAAATTGCGGTTTACATGTACAGTTCTATTATCATTTATCACTTTCTAAAACCAAACTTTGCTGGCCTTAGAGACTGATGCACCGACACACTACCTGCACTGCTGACACGATGCAGACACGTGTCACACACCGGGTGGCTTTTCCATTTCATTCTGTCTTTTTAAAGTGCCGGACACGTCTATGAAATGGTGTAGACATGCCATGGCAACATGTCTGGTATGCCGGAGTTTCACAATCAAAAGGAAAAAAAAAAAATAAAAAAAAAATCAGAGAAACTCAAGAGTAAAGTCGATCTCCTTGCAAGTCACTGGTGTCAGTCTGGTGATTAGATGTCACCGGCGTGAAGATCTGCTACGTCTTCATATTCCAGCGGCTGTAAGCCTGCAAGTAAACCCTAGTCTATGCAATGGGGAAGGCGAAAAGGACAAGAAAGAGGGGCAATTGTGTTTACAAGGGTGCAATTCTCAATTATTAGTGTGACCCTTCACTTTAAAGAGTTGAATCGCTAATATAAGATTTTCTGATTCACCATGATGAATGAACCCTATCATTTAAAGTTTAAAAATTCATTCCTTGTGTTTACAGTATAATTATAATAATAACATACTATAAAAACAAAAAAGTAGAACCATAAAAATTAAAGAAATTATAAAATTAAAGAAAAAACTACAAGATATATGAATAAAAATTAATATATAATTGTTTTTTCGCAACGTGTTGTGTGTCCTACTATTTTTGGGAAAATCATGTATTGACTTGTTGGACTAATGTCTTGTCTCTGTCGGTGCATCATATGCTTCTTGATGTGGCCTGGTTTCTGTATCTTGTGTTCATACCAACCCCAATTCCTTCAATAGTGTCATTTAATTTTGTTACTGTCAATGCATCTTGCCGATGTGTTTATGGCATTAGATCCAATGGAAAATCCTAATATGTCCCGCACGTGCACTTTTATCTCACTTCACGAGGGTAACCAGTGTACAACTAACAAAGTGCTAGAACCCAAATGCTATGATGCTCTTACTCGGGTACGGGTATTGGATATGGGTGCGTATTTAAGTGTCGAATCTTTTATTTTATAATATATAAGATACGGGGATATGGTTAAAAATAGTCTAGATTTCAAATACGGGTACATGGGTACGCCTTTGAAGCTTCAATTTTTTTACTAACCCAAGATGTCATTTTAAATAGATCAAAATCAATTGTTCACAAAGAAGGAAATGAGTATTAAATAAGGGGTTAAGACGAATAAAATAGAATTTTGAGGTTTAGTTTTCAATTATGAAAAGTTAATTAGTAAGCCCCGTTTAGCCCCCATTAATTTCCATTCTATTACATTCTATTTTTCTCTCTTATTTTGAACCACATAATCTTTCATAAAATAATGGTACACGTAAATCGAAAACTTTTTCTTCCTTTTCAACTACTCATTTTTCAAAAAAAATACTATTCCACCCGGCTTGAGTTTGCTTCCTAATGGTCACCACTTCAAGTCCCTTCAGGGCCACTGAGGTGAGTACTCGATTGTAAACTTCAGGGACCCGTGGGATTGGTCGAGGTGCGCGAAAGCTGGTTCGGACACCCATGGTCATCAAAATAATAATAATAATAATATTCCATCTATTTTCAGTTTCAAAAAATGGGGGTCAAATGGGGGCTAAATGTTATATAAAATATAAAATGAGGGGATTGATTGCAATTTGTACTTAGTGGAGTACTAAGTAGCATTATATGGAACTCATTTTTATTTTATACAAACAAAATCCTAAACCACCGATATAGAGAGAGAGAGAAATAAGGAAAAAAGAAGAAAAAAGAAAGAAGGGGAAATCTTGCGCCGTCTCCTTTCTCCACCTTCTAGGAGATGGTGCTAGGTTTATAGCGAGCGAAGATGTGAAGGAAAAGGAAAAGGAAAAGCAGAAGAAGAAGAAGAAGAAAGAAGAAAGAAGAAAGAAGAAAAAGAAGAAGAAGAAGCAAAAACAATGAAAGTGTCCGACTGAAACTTGGAGGATCCGACACATCCTATACCCATACTCGTGTCGTGTCCGACACAGGTACTCCGACCGTTTCGAAGAGTCCGAGCATAGCGCCCAAATGTATGTGAATGTTGAAAATGCTCTTATCTAAATAGATTCATAGCTTGACGTCACATATGCACAAAATAAATAAATAAATAGATGGACAGATCGTGATGCAACGGGTCTTAAGGGTTAAACTCTTTCTGTGATCGATAATGGTAGATCTGTATAGCTTTGGCCTTTTTGAAGAGCAGAGCAGCATGTAAGCTGTTACTTGTACTCAATATGTGCCTATGAGTTGTTGATCTACATTACTTCTCCACCGGAAAAAAAATAAATAAAAATAAAAAATGTTTGCTCAATAGCCATGTCCAGTAATCATATCGCAGTTTATACGAATTTAGCGTGCATTTTGTTATTGTGTATAATTTTTCTGTTCATGTATTTGGTGGATTGAATAATTCAATTGGATATTTTAAGGCTTCTAGTTTCTCTTCACGAATTTTAGGTTACATGATACATGTTGTCAGTTGTAGTGTTTTACAGTCTTTTCTTGGAATGATACTAGTCAATGAAAATAAATATATGTACTTGTTTTGATGTGCTACTGGATTCAGTTTTCTGAGACATCTGTGACAGTATTATGATTTGTTGCTTTTCCTCACTTCTTAATTCAATTATGTTTCTAACATACGGAACTATTGAGTGCTCATGAGCCGGATATTGCACAAGACAGCCTCCACTTCTCTCTTTTTTTTTTTTTTTTTTTTTTTTTTTACCAAGCCATTTGGTTATGTAAATTTCTCATTTCTGGTTATTAGGTACAAGCTTTCTTACTACCGGTTTGGTGAGGTGACGACAGAATATGGCAAACCTCCTGGGTAAGTAAACTGTTTACCTTCTCCATTTCTCTAATGTTCTTTGAGAGTTTAACTACTCGTGTGTGATGAAATTTAAGTCATTTTCCTATTTATGAATATATAACATGAAATGATACTTTTACTCGTATCACACGTTAATCATAAACAGAACAATGCTTCAAGTGAAGCTTCACTGCCCTATCATTTAAAAAAAAAGAAAAAAAAAACTGAAACAGTATTACATGTTAGATCTAAGCAGGATGATGCTTCAAGTGAAGCAGTACCCTAGTATGTCGATAAAAAACCTGAAACTGTACACCTACAGCTCACAAATATTGTATTTGCTTGGGATGGGGCTGAGTCCTGCAAGCACTTCTGCCTATATCTCAATGGTAGTGGTAAAGCTCATTTTTATCAAGAACCAAATATGGACGAAAAGCTGAAGGCTACAGTAAACTCTCTTCCATGGTAGATCTGCCACACCTGAAATGGGGATGGAATGATAATGGATTTTCGAATTTCTCCACGATATTATTGATTTTTTGGATCCCCCATCGGCATCAACCTGAGTAGTACACTATTTTCGAGGAGTTTCACCAATTCCTAATAGTTGAGTCCACGTAGATTGAGAAGAGATGATGCTTTTTCTGGTAACTGGATCTAGGGTAGCGTGTACATGTTTGATAAGTGTTGTGTCTTGCCGGGCACTGGCTCCTCAAACACTTAAGGACTTGTATCCGACAAGCCACGTGTCGTTTCTGTTAGGACCCTGTGTTGCTGCTGTGCTGCTGAAGTTCTATTGCTGAAGAGGTTCTGGTCTTCCTGCAAATGATGGCTTTCTCTGCTGTTGGAGATGCTGCTTTACCTTCTGGAAGCTTATCCGGAGATTATTTCACTAGTAATATACTAGAAGATGACAGGAACGGAATGTGTATTGTTTATTGACTGACTGGAAGGTTACAAAGC